TAAATAACAAATAAAAAAATTAATATTTTATAATCGCAATAATAAATATAAATCAAACGAAAACAAAATTTTAAGGAACTAACCGCATTATTCTCTGAAGTATACATTGGGTCATTTTGTTTCCTGAAATTTCGAGACCTGTAGGCGTGAAAGTGCCGAAATCAGATTCCATCACGAACTGCAAATTTCCATTCTCTGCAGCATGATTTCGTATATACTGCTCCGCTCCGAGAAGACCAAATTCCTCGGCAGTCCACATTATCATTCTATATATATATATATATATATAATATCATATAAATTATAAATTATAAATTCTAAATATAATATAAATAATTTGCTGTATAACAAGACGCTTACAGAATATACATACTTAATCTTATATTAATAATCATATTAATAATTAAATTAAATTTTGAAATATTATGAACCTTATCGTTCTTCGCGCCCGGATGCCGAGATGTTTCAACAATTTTAATGCGTTCCAAGATATAAAAATGCCACCTCCATCATCCATTGCACCTATTCCAACGTCCCAACTATCTATATGTCCAGAAACGACGACTGCTTTTGCAGGCACGCTAGAACCGATGATATCCGCTATAATGTTTCGAGATTGAGTATCGGGATATCTCTTCGCTTCCATTTTTAAGTTTATCACTATCGTTTCACCTAAATAAACATAAATAATACCATCAGTTATTTGTCTAGCGAAGAAGTGTTTTTTTTTTTACCTCGATCCGCCATCCTTCCCAGAAGAGTTGCATCTTCGACAGTTATACAAGCAGCTGGGATTTTAGTAACGTTCTCTGCGTAATTCATCATACCTGTGTGTGGGGTGTACAATGAAAATGGCGTTACTGATCTGATTAATGCAGCTACAGCTCCCAATTCTGCAGCTCTTATAGCTCCCACGCTTCTATATTCCACAGTTTCTCCATACGAGACAAACTTTTGATTGTATACGACTATTTTTCCGGGAATCTGATACATTTAAAATTTACTTTATTATAATTAAGGAATTATAAAAATATGTTGCGTCTCGATCTTTTATTCGTTAAATTTACCTCTTCTGCCCTTTTCTTGAGTTCTGCGAAACTATTCACTACGACAGCATTAGCAGTTATGCCTTTTTTCGGAGTACCAATACTATAGCCCAATCCCAGTAACGCCAGATTTTTCTGCCGTGGTTGCAAAAGAGTTGCAGATTCCGAACCTCTGGATTTATTATCGTAATCATCACGTTTGTTTTTTATTTTAAAATTATTTAGTTTTAATGTGCGTTTATGAATTATACCTGACCCAGCGTGGTACAGTGGCTGGCTCACCATGAACATTATCTAAACCTAAACTGATCGACTTGTTCAATACGTAATCAATAGCGTCTTCAAGAACTTGGGTACCAGTAAATCTCGGACCAAACTTATCAACAAACGTTGCCAAATCTTGCCATGTGGTTCCTTTGAATGAACCTTGCATACTTTCATTAATTATTCTGTGTACTATTGGCGCATAAGAGTCTATCTCTTGAATTAAATGATTTGGCAGATGGCAAGTATCCTGGTCATATGCTGTTATCATTGACTGAACGCATAACAAGCACACAAAGATAATTCTGTTTGCTTTATACCACATTATTGCTAAATGCGGTTTTCCTGTGTCATTAATATTGTGTACCATTATAGAAATTACATTAAACATATTAAATAATGCATATTAATAAAAAATGTTTGATCAAAGCAACTCTCTTTGTGCCTAACAATATCGAGAATTTATACAATTTAAGTTTAAGCAAAGTGTGTGTCGATTATTATTTATCGATTTTGAAACGCAGTCCTAAAAAGTAGTAATATTATAAATTAATTTTGACAAGCAACTTTACTAACATTATTGATGCAAAGCACTTTAAGTAAAAAGCTGTTAATAATTATTTACAATTTTTAAAATGCTTATTATTAGCATCAAATTATTAAAAGTATTCTAAGATAATTATTTGCATCGTAATATTAATATTCTAGCTTTGATTTAGAACTGTATTTTAAGATCGACAAATAATCAGCTCACAGTTTGCTTGAACTGGAAATTGTATAAATTTACAAACAATATTTATTTATTATGTACATAAAAAATCACCTTGACCGAATATAGTATTTTCACTCATGTGTTTTTATCTCATCTTGATTTTTGCTTAATATTATTGATAATCTTATCTATCGATTTTCACTTACATAATATTGTTTATATATTGCAATCTATTGCAACACTGATCAATGATTACGATAATGATATCTAAACGCCCAGTGAGCCATAAATATAGTTGTATCAATATAATAGCATGAGATGACTGATTTAATAAATTCATATTAGAAATACAAGAAGGAAATTATTATAAATAATTAACCAATGTGACAATAACTGTGTATTAAAAACTTTTGATCGTTATATATGAGAAGCTCGGGTTAAAAGTGACACGAATAAGTTGTAACACTTGCAAAAAACATTATAAATATTATAAATAAAATACAAAAGCAATAATATTATAATACAAAAAAATTTAGATGTTAATATATTTAAAAAGATATTTAATAATCTAATAAAATTGTATACATACGTATATATCGACTTATATAGTCGTTTAACAATAACGACGAATAATAGACAAATTAGTATTAATTTGTTAAACATACATAACTTGCGAATAATATTAACAATAAGAAGCCAATAATCAAACAAACAAATAAAATTTTGTTGAATTATATGAAATGATGATTTGTGGAATGTAATCTTTCATGTTCAATAATAAAAATGAGTAGTAAAGCATCAAATAGTAAAACTATGATAACAAATTTATTATTAAATGACGAGAATCACGTTTAGTCAATGTTTTTGGAAAAAATAGAAAAATCTAATTTTGATGAAGAATTTCTTAATAAAAATGTTGTAAAGAATATCATCTCTCTTGAGAATAAATTTTTATATGTCTTTATTTCATTTGATCTCTTATTATTAGTGAATCTCAAGGATAGAACTGATGTATACAATTTTACATTAGGTTATTAAACGCTT